AATGACTTTGTTTGCCTCTAGGTGTTCGCTGATTCGTTGTTTGATTATCTTTTCCAGGATCTTCCCAGGTATTGAGATCAGGCTGATAGGTCTGTAATTTCCTGGGTTCATTTTTTTTTCCTTTTTTGAAGATGGGAACTACATCAGCTCTTTTCCAGTCCTCTGGTAGTTTCCCAGTCCTCCAGGATCTTTGAAAAATATAGTTCAATGGTTCTGAGATCACATCTGCCAGTTACTTGAGAACCCTGGGGTGTAATCCATCTGGTCCTGGTGATTTGAATTCGTCTAGGCTGGACAGGTCCTCACTTACCGTTTTCTTGCCTATCTTAACTTGCATTTCTATTCTGTTTTTTATGGCACTATTTTTGGTAGGGTGGTTTGTTTTTTCTCTTTGTGTAAAGACAGATGCAAAAAATGAGTTAAATAGTTCTGCTTTCTCCCTGTTGCTTGTCACCTCCCCCAAGCAGAAACCAGCTCTATAGAAATGCAGATGTAAATAATCCAGGAAGGTTGGAGGCCCCCAGCTAGAAGCTTAGGAAGACAAAGATACCTAAAATCTACATACCCCATTCAAACTCTGAAACAGGACATAATAGGATTAACCCACATATGCCAAAGGGCACACTCAGACTCAGGTCAAAGTTCGCGCCACAGGAACAATTCCAAACAAAAGGCTCCAGAGAGTATAAAAACCCACTCCCTACATGTGCTCTCTCTCTTTCCTTCCAGAGCCATATTTCTGTCTGGCTCTCCTCTTTAATAAACTGCAACCTTCTTTCTAAAGCAGTCGCCATGTTGTTTATTCCCGGCTTGGACTGATCCGTGATGAAGACTTTTCCTTCAGCAATCTGAAAAATTAAACTGACACATTGTGACTGCTTAAACCTGTTTATTCATTGTACAGTCACTTATATTATTTACAATAGTGTATTTTAGTAGTGACAGATATTTCCAGGATATTCCTAAAAATTAGATATGTGTTCTATGACTAACTGAAGTAGAAAATGATATTAACAGTAGACCATATAACAAGGTCAAAATAAATCTTATGCTTACCTGTTGTTTTCTGGGTTTTCCCCACTAATTATTTTGTCCCCCCAAAAAATTACAATTAAATTAAAACAAAGAACATGATCCTATAAATATAGCTGGGAAATGAAAGACCATAGCGGCCCAAATTACTTAGAGGTAATAACACAATAATATGTAATCATGACTAATTAATAGTATCCACTCCCTTCTCATTACCCAGGCTTATTAAAGTACTTTAATTAATCTGATTGTCATATGATTCATACATTGTACAGAACAGCTTTACAAAACAGGAAATAGATAAATAGCATAATATTAATGCCTGTTAAAAAAATTTAATCTTGCACAAGAAAATTTGTTCCTATTATTCCCCAGAGTTATGGTGCCTGATACCTGATGAAGGAAGGCAGATTTGCATTGGCTGGATAACTGAGACCCGGATGTATAGATTAACCTTTTTTGTAACTTCCAGTATTATTTTATTATCAAATTATTTTGTTTGTGGAAAACTAATTTTCCTGATTGGTTATTTCTTTATTATTTGTCTTTCCAATATTGATGTGTTTCCTAAAATATGAACTTTAAGATTCCTTCTGCAATGTTTTCCATAAGTTTAATGTTGAACATTAATTTTTAGGATTTTTGTTGCTACCAAACATAACAGAAATAAATAAAAATTAAGAAATAATCCCATTTTTATTGTTTTAGAAATATTTATCTTTTAGGATTTCAATATTTTAATCTTTCAATATAAGATGGGTGGCAAAAAAATCAATAAACAAACAAAAAATAAATAGACTACATCTGTCACATTCTGAATTGTAACTAGCATTCCTGGTTTCCTTTGTGGCTTTTTTCTAGTTCATGAACAAATTAGGAAAATAATAGTGCTGTTTTATTTTGTATTGACTAGACTCTAGCTTGAATATTGTATTCACTTCTGGGCACTGCATTTCATGAACAAACAGAATACATTTAGGGAAGATAATGAGGATGATCAATGAACTGGAATCTTAGCTTCTAAACAAGTCTAAAGGTAACATGTAGCCTAATTTTCCTGGTTTCATAGTATAGGATTTAAGTTAGAGACTTAAACTTCAACAGAATATTAAAATACATTTCCTACCACTAAAAACAGTTTGATAGTGGAGCCAATTATGCAGAGTAGTGGCAGGTTCTTCTCTAGATGGGGGTTCAAGTGGAAACAGTCCAGCTGGATTAAAATAATATATAATCTTCATGAATGAATAAACTAATGTTTTTAACAACAATCAATGCACGATACAGTATGTTCTTTCATTCAAGATCACATTATGATACCTGGCTCTTATTTCTCTTCCCTATGCCATAATAACATGTAAGAATATTAAATCAAAATGGGAGAATCCTAGGTCAACCTCAAGTCATATATGTCAGTGCCACCTGAATATTAATCTGAAATCATATCAACAATGTGAAATAGTTTGAAACAATTGCCTCCATAGACAAACAGACAAAGTAAAGAAAAATGTCTTGGGATGAGTCTTTAGAAGAATTCAAACAACAGAGAAAAACCGCCAATTTTTCAGATTTCTTCAAAAATCTTAGAGCATATAGGAACTCTATTAATTTTGATACTATGTCAGAAAAATAATTTGGGGTTCCAACTCAAACCAGGGTTGCACAAGAATAAATGAAAAAGAAATCCATACAGCTATCAGGAAAGAAGAAATATTTATTCTTAAAAGCAAACAGTTTGCCTTTAGTGGCAGCTGCAGAGAAATGAGTTAGAGCAACAGACGTTTATAGGGGAGCTTGTCCTGCTGTAGAAGTGTCTACATGCTGATTGTAGGGTGACACTTGAGGTGTTTTTTTTGTGTGTGTGTGTCTCTGTGTGTGTATGTGGTGTGTGTGTGTCTCTGTGTGTGTAGGTATGCTTATTCTTGTGAATAAGCAGTTCTGTTGGGAGACCTAATTTAATTAACTCTGTGTTTACAAACCTTATCCTTGATATGTGGATTAGGTCTAGGTAACTTATTTGGGGGTTTGAGGAAGTTTGAATAAAAGATCCCTCCCCCTCCCCCATTTGCTATTTGTACTTGGTTAATTTAATTTCAGCTTGACTGTCAATTATCTAGTGGAGATGCAGATTCACAGACCATTGTGGATTCTGTTAATGTTTTAAGGGAAGATGAAAACAGTATAAAGAATAAAATATATTTTGATATAAAACTTCTCACAACTATATCTAAAATTTGGCAAACAACATTGATAGTTGTCAATAGCACATAAAATTTCAGTTTAGATTATCTATTTTATGTTCCGTTGCAGCCATTTTGAAATGTCCTTCAATTGCTTAATAAAACAGATCAGTGACTCCAAAATTGAATTAATAAGATAATAGAGTTCTTGATGAGTTCCACAAAGCATCTGGATGTGTGAAGAAATAATTCCATTTATAGTAACCCTGGGAGATAGATTAAAATACACATTTTAATCCAATTAAAGAAAAGAAGAATCATATCTTATGCAAGACATGCTCTAGAAATTCAGCCTGCACCATATCAATGTATCTTCATCCCCAGTGAGATAAACACTATTAAATCTAATTTATCTGATAGAGTAGTTAAAATCCAGTTAACATTCTAATAACTTATTTGTGACACATTTTTATAAATTGAAATTGCATAAGATGAATTGTCAAAGATATCATAGTTTCAGGTCTTTATGCCACAGTTGCTGTCTACATTTTAGCATCTGTATTTAACAAAGAAATTGGGTGATGATTTGCATAGGGAAATCTTTCCAGAAAAATCACAATTATAAAATGTTCATTAAAAGGAGAAAAAAATGTTATTCAAAAAGGCATCGTTATATAATTCCAAGAGTCTGGGAGTGAAAAAAAATAGATAACTTATCTAAATCTATGGGAAAACCTTCAGTGTGAGATGCTTTACTCTGAGGTTCTCCTGGATTCATGACTTCTACTTGAAGACCAGGTGGCAGTCATGCTTAGGAGGGCCTTTGCACAACTTTGCATTGGGTGGAAGCTGTAGCCATTCCTACATCAGGAAGCCCTATGTTCAGGTCACTCCTGCCTTGGTCAGCTCCATATGGATTTCTGTAATGAACTCTACATGAAGTTGCATTTGAAGAACACCCACAAGCTTCAGCTGTGCAAAATACGATGGCAGTTATGCAGTTATGTCCAGTGGTGGGATTCAGCCATTTCGCACCACTTTGACCGAACCGGTAGCTAACTTTTTGTTGCCCAAGCCCAGAATGGACTTCAGGAAGCAGCATCCACACAGATAATCGGTTGTTCACATATTTGAATCCCACCACTGGTTATGTCTCTATTTAGATCAAAACCAGTTACACCTCTGCTCCATGAGCTGCATTTGTCTCCCAGTTTGCTTCCAGGTTCAGTTCGAATTGTGGTAATCACCTCTAAAATCCTACGTGGCATGGGGCTTAGGATATTTGAGGGACCACTCTCCCCAATCACATCTACTTTTATTACTGGTCTTTTGCATAATCTAATTACATTTGAAATGCTTCTTATTGCTATTTTTACATTGTTTGGAATGGGACTTAACCTTAAAATGAAAAAAAAGTATTTTTTTCCTTTTGCAATTGATTTCTACACCCATTGTCTACCTTTATTTTATATGCAGTGGTTTTGTCAGGTCTTTGAAGCATAGAATACAGTGCTCTTAGTATGGATTGGGAATAAAAACTTACATAGCCCAGTATATATGCAGTGTGTATGCCATATTGAGAAAGGCAGCTTGGATATGTAAGGTTGGTTCATTATTTATTTTATGGTGCACAAAAGGAATGTGCATCACTGATGTATAATGGATTAATCTATCTACTGATTTAAATGATCAAATTTAACAGCCTCACACTGACCTTGTCAGTGAGTAAACCTTCTGCAGCAAAAACAAAGAAAGCTGTGATCTTTGTTGCTATTTTATTTTTTTCAGTATGTCCCTCCTGATCTTTGCATCTGTAATTTTGTACTGGAGCAGTCTTTATCTGTCAGAGCCCTCCAGGAAATGCTTGCCCATACAAGAGACAATTCCAGGGAAGGGGTAAGTACAATTGTTTTCCTTTGGCAATGTGAGATTTCAGTCTTACAAAAACCAATTTTTTACTTTCCTCCATGGACCCAGAAGCCTTTCAGAATAAAGACTGTTAACAACAAGTTTTATAATCTTTTCAATATTGCCCTTTGTTTAGAAATCTTCCAATCTCTCAAGTTTTCTAAATTTCAACTTGGCTTAAATTTCAGTACAAGTGCATTTAATTTGCTAGGCAGTTATAAAACATACAGTACAATAAAAGCTATACTCATTTCTTCAGATCTCAGTCATTACCAGAATGCAAATGGCTATTGCAAGCATATTCTTGGAGTTATAGCTATCCTTTGACAACCCAAGATGTTTAGAGGTCTAGTAACTTTGAATGTAGGTCATTTGCAGAGTAGCATTACTTTTCTGTCAAAGTCATTGGAGCAGAATAAGTTGGTAAATTTATTTTTGTAATACTTTGCACTCAAATAAGAAGAGGTTTTGAATTATATTTTGTGTCATTCCCCACCCTGCTTTAAAATATAATTGCATAAACTGCAACTAAGTATTTGAAAAGATACTCAATCTCAAGCCAATACATTTATTTATTTGTATCCCACCTTTTTATTTTTACAAATAACTCAAGGCGGCAAACACATCCAACACACTTTCCTCTTCCTATTTTCCCCACAACGACAATAGCAACAGGTGAGCTGGGTTGGGCTGAGAGAGTGACTGGCCCAAAGTCACCCAGATGGCTTGCATGTCTAAGGTGGGACTTGAACTCATGGTCTCCTGCTTTCTAGTTTGGTGCCTTAATCACTAGACCAAACTGGTTCTCTAAAATACATGAACTTAATGAGAGCTAAAGGCTTATTTCATATATGAAGGTAATGATATGGGTGCTAAACATTGCAATAGAGATTTCATGTAATTGCTTAGATGATTGGTACCTTTCAATGACTGTGAGTTTCAGATAGAAAAATCCTCCAATCTCAATCCAATTATCCATGCAGGAACTCCTTGAGTGTGAAATTAGCCAGTGTAAAAGCAGAATAAGACATCTATGTGAAGAAAGACTAGTAATTATGATCTTAGGAAAATGAACGGTATATGCTTCCATCCAGGGCGAATGGTTTGAAAGAAAAGCCAATTTTTAATCTTTTCCTGAGAAATTCAGCACCAGTTCAAAACAACTCAACAGAAACAGAACTATGACTAAGCTGCTCTGGTTACTTTTAGAGTAATTATAGAATCAAAATAAAGAAAAACCAATGCATTTCCCACTGAGATTGTCAACCCCTGAATCATAGTAACATTGTTCAGTCTTGTTGAGACTTCAGAATTTACCCACTTTGAGGTAGAAGGGGTGATGTGGAAAAAAAAGAAATTATGTTTGATCACTAGTTGATCCTGTTCCTGGTCTTTGTTTAGCTTATCTTGGGAGTAAACCTTTCATAGCTTTTTACTTTCAATCCATCATTTGAACCCTGAATAGGTTAAAACCTCTTCCAAGTCTTGTTTCTCCTGCTGCTGTTCCATATATTTTCAAACATTTTCCATGCTGCACAACTTTTGCTAGCCACCCAGCCAGCTACTTTCATTACTCATCCTCCAGCCTCCTTTCTTGTTTCTCTACCTTCCCTCAGTGCATACTCTCATTTTACTCCTTCTATTTCTCTTTCTTCTGGTTCCCTTTCCCTAATTTTATTTCCCCTCCAAGTCTCCTAAATCTCATTTCAATCTGCCTCCCATGCTTACTGTCTAATTCTGTTTTTCTGAAGCAGGCCTTGCCTCTAAAACAAGCACTCCCCTCAAGCCCTTTCATCCTGTTAAAATAAAGCTTTACTGAAAGCTCAGTGGGACAACTCTTGCGGTTGATATATTGCTCCACAGCCATACTTAACTTTCTATAATCTGATGTCTGTTTTATTCATTTTTTAAAATCAATTTATTACCTGTGAAAAAATATTTTGTGTATTTACACAGCAAACAAATCTTGATTAAAACTGGAATCTGAGGGTCAGAATACATTGAAACTTAAATAACTCTCCTCATTTCTGTCTAAATAGCCCAATTCTCTAATCTCTAATCTCTGTGTTTGAAGAGCTAGTCTATGGGATCTTCGGTGCTCTCTGACTCTCTCTGCAGTTTTCTTGCATACTTTTCATTACCAAACTTGGTAATAGCTTCTAGCTCAGAGAGCATCAAGAACCCCATAGTTCAGGACTTCCGGTTTGCCATTGCAGCTGCTGCGGCCACTGGAAGGCAAGGTCCGTCTTCCAGGTTCAGTTTCATTCCGCTAGAGGACCCTGGAAAGGGTCGAAAGTCACCCTGTAGGGGCAATGAGCAAGGAGGGGACCCTCGATTGATTGTGGGAGGATGGCAGCCCTTCCGCTTGATCCGAGGCAGCCCTCCAAACTGGCGGAGGAAAGACCAGCCGTAGCAATATGACTTGTCACTAGGCTGCAGACAACTAAAGTCAAACTTACCACCAGGCACTTCTAAAGCAATGTGGATGAAACTGGGTGAGATCCAATCTTCTCTCTAAGATCCTAAGTATTTTTCTTCCTGTAAAAGCTGCCCAAAGTATCTTTCCCCCTGTGAGGAGAGAGGGAAGGGAATTTCTATCCCACCCTCTAAGAAAAGCAGCGACTGATTACCCAGGGGAGTTAAAGCACTAAAAGAATAACTTTAATCTAATTGGATTTATATGTTTCTGAAACTTGGGGACCAAAAGTTCTCTTATTTGCACTGAAGACTTTTGTTTTTATCTATAAAAAAAGAAATAAAATTAGAAAAAGGACTATAAAAATTTTGGACTTAAAAAACTTTAAGCAGCATCAGTGACATCTTGTGGTGAAGCTTGGTTTTACAACTTGTTATTGCCTAAAGGAGACTTGGCTTGAAGCCCAGACTACAGATAAGACTCTTTTAACTTTGATAAACACTACCTGTGAGAAGTTCAGCTGTAAAGAGAATTTCTGGGTGGCATGGCTGGCCTCCTTGAACTATGAATGTAAACCTTTATTGATTTTTAGAGATGTATGTGGGGAATTGCCTTCCTACTTTTTATCTGAGGAATATTGGTCATTATTTGAGATGATGAAATACATTGGATTATAAAATCTTACTTGATAAATGACTTTTATTATAAAGACTACCTACAAACACGTGAAATAGAGGTCCCATACCCAGCTATAAAATTATTTTCATTGTCTGATTTCAAAGTCCTCAACTTAACGCACAATTAAGAGAAGATGGATAAAGACCAGGAAAAGATTCTTTCCATGTTGAAAGCAATACATGAAACCATCCTTTCAGCTTGTGACGAAATAAGATGTTACAGAAAAGAACAAGATGTCAGCTCAGATATACAAACCAAAATTCTGACTGCAACTAAAGAACCAACAATGCAGAAAGTAACAGAAGAAGTGGAACAATCAAATACTAAGACAGAGCACTCAATTGACCAACAAATACAGTCAATGGAATATCCAGAAAAGGGAGTGACAACACTGAAAATGGAAAAGACTTTCTATATAAATCAGAAGAAATTTGAGGAGCAAGAAGAAGAACAGACTGAATGGAAGATAAACATACCAGGACAATTATGGGGATTTGGAATAATAGGGAGATGATTTAAGGAATACAAATGGGCTAGCCCTTCCAAATAAAATGGCAACTAAATGGTCTCTCTTATTCCAAACAATATATATAATAATAGAGGGAGATCTATTTGATGATTTAAAAGCATTGACATGAAAGGCTAGTTGGCAAAGAAAGCAAGCCAGAATAAGGCTGAAGAAAATTGGGGTTTTGATTTATCAGAGGGGATTTCATATTACTAATTAGAGGGTCAAAGGGAGAAGTTGAAATAAAGGAAAATTTGGTCATTAAATTTAAAACATTTGGAAATTAGTTGAAAATAAGGATGCTATTTGTTTAATACTTAAACATTGGACCCAAAAGAAAAAAAATATTATGAATATGTTTGATTTATTGATTAACTCAGACAATATATATAATGGGCTTTGATTTATTAAAGAGGAAACTGTATTATTAATTAGATAATGTAAGATGGGGGGGAAATAGATAACTTTTAGGAAATAGAACAAGATTATACCCAAATAGATAAGATGTGTATTTTGAATATTAGATTTTATTATGAATTGAGATAAAGGAAACCTTGGTTACCTAAAACCTGGAAATTATAAATATCAAATGTTAAATTTGAATATTGATGGGAAACTAAAAATTAGGAAAAACCAATAACAGGACATTGATTGAATGTAAAGATTGAATGTAAAAGTAATTAAGATATGAATAAGCTAAAAATTTATTGATAAATGTAATAATGATGTTTTAATTTAGTTGATATAATAAGAACTGTATTAGCTTAAATATGAGATAGTAGATATTAAGGGGAAAAGAGAGAAAATATTTGAGGTTGTAGTATGAGATTTGCACTAAAGATTTTTGTATGTTACTGAACCATTGATTAGCCCAGCCACCACGTTACTTTTTAAATACTTAAATGTAAAATTAGAAAATTAATAAAAATATTATTAAAAAAGAACCCCATAGTTCAACACTGAGCTATAAATATTCTCTTTTATAAGATAATTATTATTATCAATGGAAGCTGTTCTTTTCTTTTTTCCTCTGCAAAATTAGTTTAGTATTTCCATATTTGTATTTACATACTTAATTGCGAAATAAATGTCAATGCACGTTCCTATAAACACAGCCTTAGGAAATTAATTATTGCAGAAACACGGAAAGAAGGTATAATTGTGCACATGATCTTTCCTGCAATGACATATCACAAAAGTTTTGTTGTTATAAGGCACCTAAAAGGTATCTGTCAAAATCAGTGTTAGAGAAAAGGGGAGTTGTGATGGACAAAGCATGCATTGGAACATGAGAGTTCTGAAAAGCAAAAAAAAAAAAAATAGAGCACACAAATATAAATGCTAGCAGAATTATTCTTTATGAATAAATGATACATTATTGCACAC